TGATATGAATTAGTCCGAGCAGCTGCTTTGTGAAGAGATTATTTTATAAAGGAAATGGGTATATGCAGAATGGGTAGTGGAGAAACTCTGTAATACCTGTTTTGTTCCCGGGGCCTTTTGATTCAGAGTCTGATGGAGAGCAAGAATAGTTATGCATTAAAAGCACATTTTTGCACAGATAACTTGCCAAATAGTAAAATAAGAAATGTCCCTCTTAGAGTATGGCTTCTGCATATTGTTGCTTAAAGAATGCATGCATCTTGGTGTGCTTCTTCTCAGTATATGTTTTTATAGGATTCATCCCTTGGGAGTTGATTGCATCTGCCAGCATATGTAGTTATTTTCCTGGAGATTTGCAGATTTACTGTGGTTAGAAAGGAGAAGAATTTTGGACTGTTGATGCTAGTACTGTTGGGTTGTAGTGACAATTGCAGAGAAGAGATTTGGCTGTTAATGGGAAGCTTAGAGCTTTAACTTACTTGAGTTTTACGTGGGATCTCAAGCACTGGTGCCCACTTGTCGTTTTAGCTGCCTGCAAGGTAACCTTTCCTTGCTTTTATAGACAATGATAACTGCATTGAAATGGCAGCTGCACATCTGTTTATCTGTAAGGCATTAATGTAGATGTCTAAAGTAGGATTAGCTTCTTAGTTCTGTTTTTAATGGGTTGAATTAATGTGCTTGTCCAATTTCTATCTCAGGAACTGATAGAGTGTTTCCTCATAGTTTGAACAAGGATACTGCTTTTCCAAGTAAAATGTGCAACAACTCGAGAATATGTGGCTTAAAAAAATAATTGGAAATGTTTTTATTGCTCTCCTAAAACCAAACAAACCACCCTCACCTCCCCCAAACAACTTGTCTTACTTGACTTTGTTACTATACTCTAATTAAAATATAGTGGTTTCTTTGCTCGAGATAGAAACAGAATTGTATTAATAGAGAGTATGTAAAAACTTTTCAGTTAGTCATTGGCAGGGGAGGAAGTAGAAGTTATTACTTTCACCTTTTTAATAATTATGCTGGTACCAGTTACTTGTTTCTGTCTAAAGAGTGAATTCCTCCCCTTCCCCCCCGCCCCAGTTATGGAACAGGTATAGTGAATTAGATAGAAGTGACCACCGATGATATTGCGAGATTTCTGTTCGGTGTACTGGCTGCCAGCATTCTCACTGAAGGAAAGGCTGTCTCATGGAAGCAATATATTTCTAACTTCTTCAGCTGAACTTGGCTTTAGCTTAGGTCTGAATTGTCTGGTGCCTCAAAGAGGAGTAGTTAGTGCAGCTTTTTCTGATCTTGTATTTTAACTGTTACAGCCCATGCGCTTGGTTCAGGTGTGCTCCACATTTCTTTACCACCAAGTAGACAGAATAACTGCTTATTCCCCATGGAGGACAAGATGCTTTTGCTTTCCCATTTTGTTAGATATTGGTTCTCAAGCTTGTTTACAGGCCTGTGGTGGCACATCTGAGTAGTGTATAAAGTTGGACATCTGCTAAGTCCCTTCTAATATTTACAGAGGTCCTGGGTGAGGAATTTCTTTGTCTAGCGAACAACTTTGAAATCACCTGGAGTCACAGTAGAGTAAGATAAACTGAAATAAAAATACGTAAAGTATTTAATTGGTGCCTGGTTTTCTAAATATTAAAAAAAAAAAAGTTTGTGTAGAGAGAAAACTATGCTTAAATTTATTTTTCACTATATCCTGCACTGTAAGGTGTCTGTCCTGTGTCTCTGTCACTGTTGTTCCTTCAACCCTGAAATGTGTCCTACACACAGATTTGAATGGATTAGATTTATGTCTGTAATGGGAAAGCAAACTAGGTTTTCTTTTATATACTTGTTTTTTTGTGAGACTTCCAGGAGTTCCCTTAAGCTTAGTCTTTCACTAAAACTTCGTTGCTTCTAACTTCCTCAGAGAAGGATTTTAAATGTGTGGTCCAGGCTTTCATTTGAGTTGTCATGAATGAATAATTCTATGCCTTAATTGTAATACTGTGAAGGTGACTGGTCATAAAGTAAGTTCTAAGGTTTTTGATGTTATGCATTGATTTAATCTCTGAAAGTTCTGGTGTGGGACCTAACCCACTGAGGTTCTTTGTACTTCACTTTTGCCTTCGTCTTTATTAGATGCTCTCATGTAAAGCTTAACTTTCACCGAGACCTTGTACCTCAAAGTAAATGAGAAGTGTATATATTAGAATCTGATACATGCGAAGGCATAGCATTACTTAAAAATAGTATTCGAATCAAACTGTCTTTGAATAGGGAAATAAAAGAAATAGCACCTAGTTGTAGCACTCCAGTTAGCGTGGCTAGAGGTAAGAGTGGATTGAGACTCAAAAGTTGATTTTGGAAAATAACAGAAAGTAACCCTGTTAAGCTGAGAATTCTCTAGCATGAATTGGGGTATTTGGGTGAAAGGTTTTGAGAATGGATTTTAATGAGCCACCTTTAGTGATCATCTGTTTTGAAGAGGAGGGGCGAAAAAAGGAAGAAGAGATGGTTCCTTATTGCTACGCAGTTAAAAGTGCTTAATCACACAATGGAGAAGTATGCCTGTCCTCTAAGGCACAGGAAGGAGGCTTAGGAGAACATGCTGCCAATTCCCCTAACTTCTAACCTGTTTTAACTGGTTTTGAGGGAGTCATAGGTCTTCTGAAAACAAGGGGCTAGACAGAGTAGAGGAGCCTCACTAATGTCCTGGACGCATAGAAAGAGAAGGCTGCAAGAGCACACCTTGGTTTAAATACAAAAGAAAATGTAGCAAAGACCTTAAATGCCTCATCTGAATAGGTGGCTCCTTTGGAGCTTGCAGCAGACTACAGTGGAAGTGCTAACCACAGGAAATAATCTTTTTGGAAAAACAAATACATCTTGCATTCTAGAGTGCTTTTCAGGGTCCAGCTTAACACATAATGGCATTTGATTGAAGCTGCCATTATCTCATCTCTTTATAGATTTTGTGTCTTAGAGCAGCGTTTCTGTTTTCTTCTTTTACTCTTAGGGTTTTGGGAGCGGCTGTTGCCTGAAATGACAAAAACTGTATCCAGTATCGTGTAGATGGTGTACATTAGTTACATATATAATCTTTTTCGGTTTCCATCCCATACAATGGGCAGCATACAGTTGTTCTGTTTTCTAGTTCTTTACCTTACGGTCTTTCAGAGTGATGATTTTTCTGTACTATTACGATTTTTAGTATGTAGTGCTAATATACTTCTCTGATTTAAAGTCAGTTCCTACTCTTATAAAGATAACCTCCCCCCGTTTACTTCTTTTTCCTTTGGTGGAAAAGCATCTCTTTGTTTCGGAGATTGATAGTGACAGATTGTAGTTCCTTTCTATCCTATTCACTCATCTTTATGTCTGTCTTGGTCCTTCAATGTATAACTGGCATGCGTTGTCCAGCTAAAGGTGCTCTGAGTGTCAGCAAGAAATGTCTTCAAAGTTGACATAGTCCAGAGGACACCGTTGTCTTAATACATTGACAGTCTGTGTCAGATTTTTGTTTTATGGAGGTGGGGACAAACAATCTGAAAGTACATTGTGAACATTTACATAGTTCTGTTATATGAATTAATACTGGAATGTATGTAGGTCAAAATCGTGAACTTAAATGTAGACAAGTCATTTTGTCATCAGTTGTACTTAGTGCCATTTTTTGAAAACAAATGGTAAGAATTTGAACAGAGCAAACCAGAAACTTCATTAGAAGTGTAGCTCTGTGAAAGAGAGACAATTAGAAGATTACAGCAGTCGGAGAAGTTCCTGATAGAATTAAAACCAAATACATATAAAACCTATTCTAGGTCAGGCACGTTTCATATTGCATTTACACCCATGACACATCTTTATCAGGTTCTCTTCAATAGACCATTTAAAGCTAAGGGGCTTTAGGAACTGCATACTAATCATAACCACTCTTCTGAGATCAGCCTACTTTTCTCCAACTTGTCAGAGCTGTACAAAAGATTAGTTGCACCCTTTGGTAAAATGTTTTGTATATTGTTCATGGTTTTGAATACTACAGCTCTAAAAACTGATTATCAGGTATTTTAATACTGAAATACCTTGTAGGTAGTTATTCTTCTGTAATGATGCTTCAGCAGGGAGATGAGCTCTTTGTCAAAACTTCCATATGATTCTTTAAAGCAAACAAGATCCTCTAGAGATCTCTATTAGTGGCCAAACATGGAATTATGGTATAGCAAGAAATCATTGAGTCATGCAGTTGCATGATTTTAAAAACACTTATTCAACAGTTGATGGATACCAGCTCCTTTTCAAAATCATTTTCAGTGGCTTATCTTCTTCCTTTCTGTTGTAGAAGAGAGAATTAATTTGAGTCAGGATATGTCCATAGTGATAATGCACAGCTTTTTTAAAACAGAACGTGGGTACAGTGGGAATAATCAGAAAGGCTTAATAACAAGTGTGTAGGGTTTTATGTCTCTCTGTTTATCATTGTTTCTACTACAGTGTTGTGAAGTAGTTGTTAAATGAGAGTGTGTAGCAGTTAAACATGTTAATACAACTGAATGATGGGATTAAATGTTTATATCCAAGATGTAGTACATGGACTTTACTCAAAGAAGTGAAGAAGATTCCAGAAAAATATTTACCCTTGTGATGGAAGACCTAAACTACTAAACACTTAGGACAAATCAAAGTCAATTCAGGTGTCTTTAATAGTTGCACAAGAAAAATGGTGATTTTAAAATTCATGCAGAAATACTGGCCTTATATGTTATCATTAAACGCTACTATGGTCAATATAACATTAAGCAGCGTTCTGTCTTCTGTGATAGGGTGGACTGAAAAACAGCAAGCATGAATGTACACTGTCCTCACAAGAATATATTCATGAATTGCGATCTGGAATTTCAGAGGAAAAGCTTCTTAATTGTTTAGAGTCTTTGAGAGTGTCTCTAACTAGCAATCCAGTCAGGTAAGTAATAATTTCTGCTGTAGTTTTCATCATGCTGATTTTGCTTAGCAATAAAGACTTGTGGTGGGTTGTTTGGGTTTTTTTGTTTGTTTGTTTTTGAGACCAGAGTAATTATGCTAATACTTGTTGGCATGAGAAAGAAGTTCTCAGCACACTGGAAAAGGATAAGTGAAATGTTTGCAACTGTCTGCGGTATCTTCTCACCTTTCACGGTAGTTCTCAACAACTTCTAGTTGTTGGAACTAGGCATTTGTCTTAATGGTTGATCAGGTCCTCCTGGGAAGTGAGACTTAAAGCAGCATCTATGAAGAGATGTACAAGCAATATTGGAGACATAACTTTGCAAGTTTTACATTTGATTAAGAACAATTAAAAGCATTTTACTTCCTTTTCTCCAGCTGGGTTAACAATTTTGGACATGAAGGTCTTGGACTTATGTTGGATGCATTGGAAAAGCTTCTGGACAAGAAACAGTAAGGACTTGGACCTTTTGAAGGGAAGGGTGGCGGAGTCTGTGAAGATTATTTGTACTTATGTTATTTTCCTCCTCCCTTTCAAGGCAAGAAAGTATTGATAAGAAGAATCAACATAAACTTATCCAGTGCCTCAAAGCATTTATGAACAACAAAGTAAGAAATATTTTAAATTCAGATACTTCTAGCATGATTGTTTTTTGTTGACTTCAAGATCTATGTAGCATGTTGAATCTCAGAAAAGGGAGGACAGAAAAGGGAGGAAAGATTGTATATCCAGTGTCAGGTGACTCTTTGGAATTGTAGGTCATAAACTTAGTGTAACTGTTTGTTGAGAGTCTTGTTCATAAACCTTCTGAATATGCATTTTGTCTTAGTTTTGTTAAGCATGATTTTTGGAAGTAAAAAGTTTGGCAAACAGAGGATGATAGTATGGATTTGAGGTAAGTGAATTAGGAAATTAATTGCTTGTGAAATTGAAAGGAAAAGACTTCTTTCTAAATTCTGATTTCAATACATGATTTTTTTTTTATTAATATAATGTATTTTTCACCTGATTTTAAATTGAGTGTGATTTAATATCTTTTTAGCTACAGTTTTAACTTGGTAGGTAGTGGGTAAAGGATAAAACTTTGGTCTAGTTTAAGTTGTATCTAACTTGTTTCTAATGTGGGTTACTCCTGTTCACAAAGTGTGAGTACTACTTCTAGAAGTTGATGTGTTAAACTTGTAATTTTGCTTTATTAATAGCAAAATCTAAAGTGTTGTTATAATGATTTATTCCCCCCCACCCATAACAAATACAACTGTGCATTAAAGTTACTTTTAACTACTGTTACTGTGTTTAGTAAAATGTCACTTACAGAATAGCCCGTCTGATGAAGCGGGAAAAGTAAACTTAAATGGTCGCATGCTTCCCCCCAGTATTCTTACACTTACAGTGTAACTTCAAACAATTAGATGTCTGATTTACCAACTATCCTGTAGTTAATGGAAAAGAAAAATAATGCTACTTTTAAATAAATGCCAATGTGTAAGTGGTTTTGATTTAGCTGTACAGAAAGTGAAATAGAATATACAAAACAAAAATAGTTGTTTCAAAAAAGAATCTCAGCCTTTATCGGTCCTTGTGTGGAAAGTATTTCGACTTGCCAGGAGCTGTTACAGGTACAGGGAAAAAAATTAACGAATTTTTCATACTGTTGAGGTGTTTCAGGTATACATAGAAAATAAAAACTGGTTTGTCCTTTGGTGGACACCTGATTTTACAAGATATAGTATTTTCCTTAGGTGCTGACTCACTGTTTCTCTTAGGAGAAAGCCTCAAATGTACAATCGGGAAGACGGACTTATGTCCCCAAGCAGTAATAGCCAGAAGGTTTTAGTAGAGTGTTGCCAAACTTTATATGGGGAGGAGGGGATGTGAGGATTCCTAAGGATCTGAAGCCCAAAGATTATGATGAGTATTTGAGGCAATTACAATCTTTTCATTGTAAGCTTTTTATTTCTTTAAGTATGGATTGCAAAGGATTCTGGGAGACGAAAGAGGTCTCTTGCTGTTATCAAGAGCAATTGACCCAAAGCAACCACAGATGATGACTGAAACAGTGAAACTGCTTTCTGCTCTCTGCATTGTTGGGGAGGAAAATATGTAAGTAAGATACTGAAACAAAAATTTTTTTTCTTTTGAATGCTTGTGAGTTGTCAGTTTGGACACAGGTGAGAAATCTTGTCAGTGAAGCAAATGTAACCTGTTAAGTCTTTACTTTCTTAATGTAGTTTAAATGAAAAGAGACTTTCACCTGTTCTGATGCATTAATCCAATATTAAATCAGACAAAAGCAAATGAGCGGAGATCTACAAACTGTGGCTTAAGTGGAAGGTCTGAAAGGACTATGCTTACTGGAGAGAAGAGACTTAATGAGCCATAACTGTTCATGAATGGCTGCTGAAAAAAAGATATATAAGTTATTTCATATATCCCTGATGAGTATGATCCGGAACTGTGAACTTTTAATTGCCACATGGAAAGCTCTTAGATTTAAAGACAATTTAGGATAATGTGTGTTAGCATGGGGTACTACTGAGCCTAGTATTGTGGGAAGGATTGAGAATGGGACATCTCCCCTGAGGAGGGGAGATGAACCTATATTTAACAATTACTGATTTGACACCACACGTTAAGACTTTTCCTTAATTTAGAAGATAATAATATATAGAAATAAATACGTTTATGGATTTTATTAAAAAATTACCTCTAGCTAAGCATAACAAATTTGACAGGGGCAAGAAGTTTACCTTTATAGCTGAAGTTTTGAATAGTTCAAGTTACGGAGTTATGTAGTACATGTCCATGAGCTTTTTAAAACAAAGATAATCAGGTGGCATACGTTTGCTTTGAATTATTGCCTTAGTTTACTGAAGGTTAAAAATGGCAAACTCCATCTCTTTTATGCAATAAATAAAAACATTTTTATTTCTGAAAAGATGATTTATTAGAATTCCCAGATACTAAACATGTCAGCTAGTACCTTGTGTGCAGTCTTGCAAATGTAGTGATTTTTTTTTTTTCTCATTGGTTGTTTCTTAGCTGAATGTCACAATAATTGAGATGTATTCACCTTTTTTTTTAATTCAACATTAATTTTCTAGATATTTTAACACTTGGTTCTTGGTTTGTTTCAACTTTATATGGACAAGTGTAGATAAATGCATTCAGATTCTTTGTCAGTGCACTGAAGTCTTGAGCTGTGTAAATAGTGGGCTAAGTATCTTTAAAATGAGAAAGTTGACTGTTGTACGCTTTTTGACAGTTTTATCTTTCTCTTAGTCTGGACAAGCTTTTAGGTGCTATAACAACTGCTGCTGAAAGGCACAACAGGGAACGTTTTTCTCAGATTGTTGAAGGACTGGAAAACCATGAAAACTTACAACTGCAGGTGGGTTTGCTTTTTGTATGCTTACTAATACTTCAAAACTAATCTGAAATACTAGAAGACTGTGTATTATTTTATGATCTTTAAATTATTTACCAGCAAAATCTTTTAGTGCTATTACTCCAGTGTTCAGTAAAAGAGGAAAAATAAATAGAAATGGCCTGCTGATACTAGATTTTCTAATTGTTAATGGTGTGAAACTACAAAACTCACTTCCTTGTCCCAAGAATAGGATTTAAAAAATCTTGACCTTAATAAAAAGAGAGTATTTAGTGATACTCCTTTTCTTGGATGCCAGATGTAAGGCTCAGGTAATAAGTGTGTGAAAGTATTTTATCATCTTTGTCACTGCTTAATCTTCTTGATCTGGAATTTTGTGTGGTTTAAAGGACCAGTAAAAATCCAGTCCTCAGTCTATCCCCTGAAATGTTTTTAGTTATTGTTACTGGAGTCCTGAGGAGGTTGGAGTTTAAGGAGTTGGAGGCAGTGGTCCCTGCGTATCTTTTGGGTTCAGGGAAGAAGCATGAAAAAGTAATCCTAAATTGCAGTGCTTGTTTAAACACCCCCTTCCTCCCAGTCCTGCCCCACCCAAAGGAAACAAAAACTCCTGTAGTTATGGCTGTGAACTGATTCCATCGAAGCAATATATTTGTAAAAAGGCAGAACAAGTTTGTGTTGTGCTCTTAAAGTGAGTACTTGAGTTTAATTTAGAACTGCACCTGGAATGCCTTAACTGAGCACACACTTCAAGTATCTTACTGTTTGAAGTACCTGTGGCAGGAACATACTTCATAGAATCATTGAATCATAGAATGGTTTGGGTGGGAAGGGACCTTTAGGGGTCATCCAGCCCAACCCCCTGCAATGACAGGGACAGCTTTAACCAGAGCAGGGTGCTCAGAGCCCCGTCCAACCTGGCCTGGGATGTTTCCAGGGATGGGGACTCCACCACCTCTCTGGGCAACCCCTTCCAGTGCCTCACCACCCTCAGTGTAAAAAATTCCTTCCTTATATCCAGTCTAAATCTCCCCTCCTTTAGTTTAAAACCATTACTCCTTGTCCTGTCACAACAGGCCTTGCTAAAAAGATTGTCCCCATCCTTCCTATAGGCCCCCTTTCAGTACTGAAAGGCTGCAATACTTACAACATTATTCACCTTTTTGTAAGCTATGTAACCTATGATAAGCATAGATCTTTTTAAAATAGTTAAGTATTTTGATGGTTTTTTTGGTATTGAAATTTTCTAGGAACTGTAGGCAAAAGTTTTATTCGGCTTTGAAGGATTTTGGTGACTTGTTATTCTCCCTGGCAATGACAACTTCAGTTAAATCCTAGCCTATCTCTGGTAAATTGGATGGTTGACATTTTTTTGAAACATTAATGACACAAGGACAGTGATAACTCGTTAATCATTTAGTAATATGAGAAGTAAGTGGGAGTAAAACTGCTAGTTTTAGATATTTAAAGTTCAACATCATCCAAGGTAGCCAGCCTCTTAACACAGCCATGCTCTTAAACTAAACAGAAATAAGCCACAGGTAAAACTGATCAGTGTCAAGTATATTTTTCTATAGCTTTCACCTTCAGTATACTGGCTTTATAGTCAGCTGAAGGTGGACGCACAGCTTAATGCAACTGTCTTTGTGCAGGGAGTGCTTAGATTTCATACAAAGTCATGTATTGAAAAGAACTACTTGAGGAACTACAGTGCTGTTGCCCTGTGGGTAGAGTGTAGTAATTTACTTTTTATGCTAACCTGTCCTTTTGTTGTAAAATGTAATACTGTTTCCTTAGGATAGGCATGCAGATTTCTTCCATTCCTAAGAAACCTGTAAGGTATACATGCAGCTGTGTTACTACTGCTGGGACATTTGGCAGCAGTATATGCAGCCTTTTAAATACTCAGCTATATAATAACGATGACAGATGTGGATGGGGTGTGTCCATTTTTGGCAGCGTACCTCTTGAGATTAGTAGTGTACAGCAGGATATCATTGCTAGTTTTGTCAACAAGAACTGTGCATTCATTGGTATGTGTTTGATGTCTGCACTTCTTCAGCCACTGGTGCATCTCTAGGGATAATCTAGTGTGATTTAAAAATTATTTTTATAAAATAATAAAATGAACAGTCTTCTGTGCCAGTGATCTTTACTGAGTCATGTCCTATGTCACATGTTCTTTGCTGCTGGTATGTCAGTGGATAGAGTTTTTTATTCTCTGTATACACCTGAATAGTTCAAGAGTTTTGGTTGCTATTAGAATGCAAGCTTTTTTAATTGCCTTTTTTTGGTAACTGCAAGTGTTTGCACAGAGAGCAAAGTGGCTGAATATCCTACTAAAGGATGACTTTGACTTATTTCCTTCTCATAATACAGTATTTATACAAATTTTGCATTGCTAAGGTACCATGGCTGAAAGATACGGGCAAGTAGAATGCAGGCAGGGCAGGTATACCTGCATGGAAGGTATACCTTGTTCCATTTTTAGATCATATATGGGTCAGTATAGTTGTTTTAACACTATGCTTACTATTAGTAGGTCTTGTTTCAGAGCTGATGAGTTAATCATATTTAATAAGTTTCTATAAATGACATTCTATTGTTAATAATGCTATCACAAAATAATTAATTTTGAAGTTTTCTCCTACTTTATGACCTTGCTGATTTAAAACAAACAAAAACAACTGCACAATATTCTCCTCCCCGCCCTCCCCTTCCCCCCCGCCAAACCTCACTTACGTGTCAGTGTAGGTACAATTGCAAGACTCATAAACTTGTTTCTGCCAAAATCGTTCTTTACTTGTAATGTATTAGCACAAGCCATTAAGCCAGAGTCTCTTCTGGCAAAAGCAATCATAGCAGATGGCACCTCTTCTCTCTATTAATTTCAGATTGGACATGTACTTTGGCTTGTTAAGTCATGTCATAGTAGTAAAATAACAAGAATCATTCAAGCGAGCATGATGATACCACATTATCTGAAGATGCAGCTATATAAAGGGAGTGCCTTTGAAATAGTGTTTTAATAGAAGTTTAAGACTCCATAAGGTGCTCCATTAAAACTAAATAGTGAAAGTAATTAAAACAGGAAGGGTGCTTTTATCTGACTTTTTTCTCTGCAGCTATTGATTTTTATTTATTTATTTTTTTCTACTCTAATGCTACTTCTATTTGCAGTTAACATCTTTTACCAAACTTGGTATTTCCCTGGAGTCCCATTTTAGTCTTTTAATGTGGATCAGCACTTTTGGCATTATGCTATTGTCTACCTGTTTTAAAGTAAATCAATTAAAGTGCACAGCTGTTCAATTAAAGCGTTAGCCAGTATCCTGAGACTTCAGGCATTTTGCAAAAGTGCTGTGCACTTTTGCACTTGTGAGTACAAAAGACACCTGGTGATGTGAATTATTTTGTGTATGGGTGTTTTTGGGGTAGTTTTGTGTGGTGGGGTTGTTTTGGGGTTTTTTTTGGTTTGTTTGGTTTTTTTTTTTTTAAATTTTCAATTGCTGTAAACAGGTTTTCAAATTGGCAAATACTGAGGAGAAGGAGTTGCAGTGCGGAACTGTAGTGTGGGAATAACTTTCTGAAACAAAGCACGATCCTTTATGTGATACAATTTTGACATAGCAGAAGCACTCGCAATATGAAAATGGAGCAGTATTTGATGTTGCTTAAATTAACCAAAGTAGTTGTTGCATGTGTGCTGCATAATAAATAATATCCATCTCTTGACATTTAGTTTTATAATTAAACTGAAAGAGTCAAATACAGTATTTATTTTCATTCTGTGCATACTAAAAGTTTTTGCCTGTGTTTCTGATAACAGGTAGCATGTATGCAGCTCATCAATGCCCTTGTCACATCTCCAGAAGATCTTGATTTCAGGATACACTTGAGAAATGAGTTTTTACGTTGTGGCCTGAAGAAAATATTGCCTGTAAGTAATTTGTATATAAGAATTGATCACAGTCAACTGTTTTTGTGAATGTTGAAGATAACCAAATTGTTTTACTGAGAATAGCAGATGTGAAAGATTGGGGGTGGGGAAGGTCAGACCTAGAAAGGACTATCAATCCAAATCCGCTTTTGTTCTGCATAGTCGCAAATTTAGGCTCTCATTAGTTATGTAGACCAGAATGGTAGTTGAAACAAGTCAATGTATTAGAAATTAAATTAGGGTAGTCAAATCTAGCGTAATGAGCTCAAAGCACATGCAGTGAATGTGAGTCTGGCTGTGGAACGAATCTTGGATTAACTTTCTTTGTATATGCCGTTCCTGTTGTTTTCTGTCATAAGTGTATTTCTTTAATCTGCCTTCTGAAAATACATTGGGAGTTTTCAAGGAAAAAAATCAAATTGACTCCTTCATTCTCTTTGAGACTGCATGTCTTCATGCACCTGCATAGAAGTACACCTTTATGGGTAGCTGTGTATGAGTATTTGTGGCTTAGGGGTAGATATATAGCTTTTAGCCAAGAAACCATTCTGATGCTTACATCAAGAGCATATATAATTAAGCTACTCAGCAGTTTGTCACAAAAGATGAGAGAATTAAAGAGTACCTGCTTATATTTGTCTGAAACAGAATTTATACTGCTATAACTTTTAAGATATGAAGTTTTGAATCATCAGCATTTATCAGGAATAAAAACCTTCAGTTTTTAGCACATTCAGCTTTGAAACTGCTACTGATGTCTGTATGTTAATTTTTCATAGAGTATGTATTTAGGTTTTATATCGTGTAGATACATTAATGTCATCTACTGTCTTTATTTGCTGTAGAACATCTGAAAGCCTGAAGAACTCTTAGGGTTTTTTTTAATTTACTGAAAGTTAGTTTACACAATTGATAAATACTTAAAAACTTTAAGAATTGGAGGTGGGGTAGGTGGCAAATAAACTGAATTGCAATAAATTATGGTATAAAAGTTTGTAGAGTGTACTGACATACAGATACATGAGTTTAAAAGCAAATAGTATTTGGTGATAATCTTTTCTAAAAATGCTGAACAGCTATTGTGTTGAAATTCTGTCTGTAGTAAGGTTAATTAATATTTCATGTAAGCTGTAATATCAACTAAAGTAGTCAATACCGTCTTGCTGTTTGTTTATTTGTAAGGTATTAATTACAACATACACATTGAACTCAGATCATTAATTCTGCAGGGAATGAACGTCCAAGGTAGAGGCGGGTTTTTTGCATTAGAAAGCAACTTTCTTAATGATAAAGCATCTTAAGAAGACTTCATGCTCATATCTGTGCTTAGGGGTAAATTTTCAAGAAATTTGTAAGTGAAAGTTTCTTGAACAAAAAACAATCAGGAGGAGGATCCGTATTTCTCTCTCTTAATCTGTCGAGATTCACAGTAGCCTTCTATGATTTTCAAACATTAGAATTCGTATGAGTTTCTGCTTTTCTCGGGGGACATACCTGGTTGCCATTCAGTTTATGCATATCCAGTTATGACAATTCCAGGCCAGTTTCATTTAAAGCATGGTGTACACTCCACACTAATGGCTTTTTGAACTGGTTTCAGTTTTTTGTGATTTGCCTAGTAGAATGCTGAACTTGGTTCTTAAGTGTAGTAGAGAAATTGCTTGCATTTCTTAAAAACAAATTTTTCCCTGCTCCAAGTACTAATTTTTGTTTTGTTTTTTTACTTCTCTTATAAGTATTTCTCAATGTACTATGGATGTTTTTATGCTATGATCTAGATTGACTTAACAGAAGTTGTAAGCATATCTTCTTTACACTTCTTCTTAAGCGCACTTTAATGCTTTGAAATATCCTTATGCTATTTTTTAAAGAAATTCTGACATTAATAAGCATAAACTGCTGACTATGTCCCATTAAGAGAACTCAACTCAGTTAGAAGACTTCGTGTTTGTTCTGCAGCCCATACCTGCTACATTTGCTGCTATTTTACCTTAATTTTTCTCAGCTGTGCAATTATAATAAAAAAAACCAGGGACTGAGTTACAGCTTACACCTGTTCCAAAGGTTAATGTCTTATATTTTGTCATGATATAACCTTTGAAGGGGGGGGAATTCTAGCTTTTAAAAAGGGAAAATTAATATATACTGTGCCTTGAAAAATAGGGCTTGAAAGATAAGGCTAATGAAGAGCTTGATATTCAGCTGAAAGTGTTTGATGAGAACAAAGAAGATGACTTACTTGAACTGTCACATCGTCTCAATGATATCAGAGCTGAAATGGAATATCCTTTGTAGAAATGGTGTTATAACATAACTTGTTGCATCGGTTAATAACTGTTACATGTAAGTTAGAATGCTCTATGTGCAGTTTATTTGTCACAGTTGTGGATGTTACCAGGGACTTTCTCAAACAGATATCTTTCCACTTGTTTTTTATTAAAAACTTATTTAGAAAATTAGTGCTTAAATTTGCATGTCAAATCTAAGCCATTGGGAACTGAATTAATTTATCATAAATAACATTTACTAAGCTAAACTCTGGCTTGTAACACATGAAGATATAAAATTACACCCATGGGAGGTTATACGTTTGAAGAAAAATGAGTTTTGATAACTAGGTTGGAACAAAATTTCTAGTAGGTTCTGAAGCACTTAAGATGCATGCCTTCTCTAGTTGTGAAGAAGCAATTAATTTCAAGTTACCTAAATTCAGAATGGTCGCCTGCAGTTTTTAAAAGAGCAGTAGCTAGTACTTAAGAAGCAGAGGAAGGTACATGCAATCAGTGAGAGGAATATAAAATCACTAACAAGTAATGTTGTTGCATTACAGAACAGGTAATTACCTGTAATTTTCTTCTTTAAGAAATTAAAATGATTGGCTAGTGTGTATTTGCCAGTAGCCTGGGTCACTTACGAATGAAAATGGAAGCTTTGTTTGAAATATGTTTACAGGATTCTATGATAATAAGTATGTAGTATGATTTTTCTGAGTAGTAATGAAACATGTCTTAATTGTTAAGCAGGGGACAGTTTCTGTGGATAATCTTAGTGGAAAAAGGGTGTTTACTAATAAGGATAGTAGCTCAGAGTGGTGATTGAACATCTAGCGAAGTGGTCTTGCGGTGGGTGTTGTGTAGTGCATGGTTTGGTGTTTTTTTTTCTTTGTTTTTTTTTTTTTTTTAAATTTTTGCGTGTTTTCAGTCCTTGTATATCCTTAACAATGTTTGCACTGATGTGAATGAAGTATTTCATCTGCTGTATAATATGTTGAAAGATACTTCTTCTGAAAATCACTTCTTGTCAATTCTCCAACATTTCCTTCTCATCAGGAGTGATTACTATGTCCGGTAAGTGTCAGCTGTCAGGTTTGATTTTTGGAGGGTATAGGGGAAAGAACAGAAGTCAAGACCCTGGTAAACTGAGTAGCTCATAATCACACATGAATAGTTGCTCTGTAACTGATGTGTTATTTGTCTTAATGCTCAATGTTGATATTGAAAAGATCTTGCTAAATATAATAATGCTTATTTCAAAGACTTGATACCTTATTCTAACACCCTCATCCCAAAATGTCTTAACTTGTTGAGCACTTTCTCCTTTATTCAAGTTTGATAGCTTCATGACTTCAAAGAACTTGAAAGTTAGTTGTATAACTAATAATTGAAAATAATTCCACAGTGCCTTATATCTTGCCTTTCCTAAGCTTCTCTTATGTGTACCTCGTAGTGTCTTAGCAGTGTCGAAGTACCACATACAAAATCTTGTTTTAAGATGTAATTTTTTTTGTTATAAAGGGATGATAAAAACAATTGATATGCAAGATGATAAAATTAAGAAGTAAAATATAACTTGAGAAATCTTCAATTTTTATAACTTTTTTTTAATTTGGAAGTTTGGAATATCATAGTTTAGGTTTGAGGGTTTCCTACTTTGAGAGCTCAATGGTATGTGAAATTGAGATGTAATACCTTGCACTGGTAAGAACTAATAATTTTGAGCACAGGATCCCCTAATCTTAGAGGCTTCTGATGTTACTCTGTAGAGCTGTATATCAAGCAATTAGGTTGTTAATTAACTAATTTTCTAAATAATTGAATACTGATACTGTAACCAGTGATGGAGTTCACTGTGTTGAGAATGTGCTAAATAATTCTTGCAGCACATATTGAAAATACTAAGGGTGTTGTTTGTTTTATTGATTATTTTCTGGCAAAGGATAAATGAAAAGTGCACAATATTTTGTGAATTCCTGAACTTCAGATATCCTTCTGAGAAACTGACAGCAGTGCTTTATTAGCCAGGGTACAAATATGACTTTTAACTTGATTCTTTTACTGATGATTGTATATATTCATATAGTAGGAGTTGAGGTTGGCCCTTTTTTCCCCCTCCATGTTGCATAAATGATTGTTCATGTTCTTATTATCTTGTAAAATGTTTTCTTTGTTAGACCTCAGTATTACAAGATAATAGAAGACTGTGTATCACAGATAGTATTGCACAGCAGTGGCATGGACCCGGATTTTAAATGTAGAGGAAGAATGGACGTGGATTTTAGTCATCTTATTGGTTTGTATACTAAAAGCAATTTTACCTTGTTTTACTGAAGTGCATGTTTTTTCTTTGTATGCTTTTGCCTAAACGTAAATTGACCCTGTGAATTTTTTCAGTTTTCTGCAAATATCCACGTAAGCTACAGGTGTACTTGTGGAGAAGGCCAGACCAAGCTCTGCAGCCTTTAATAAAATGACACTGATGAAGTGTCTCCAAATTTGTCTTGACTTATATCTGAATACGATAGTCTTAATAACCAAAAATTGCTTGTTCATAAATTCTGTGAATTTCAGGTCTGTTACAAATATCAACATTTACATTAGCATTAATCATTAGTGGATTTGTAATTGTTATGTGGATCATTCTAAGAATATTTTTCTGTAATGTTTTCCAAGTATTTGAGGTTAGTTTAAGGTGAACTAATTAGTTAAAGCATCGAGGGACTGTGGATGTTCATGTCATGTGGAAAAGCAGCAGCTGAATAAATACTGCATCACTGAAATAGCAGTTATCAGCACTTAGAAGTGTTGTTTTATGCTTTTCTTAAGATTGGTGGGGTAGATTGTATTCTTGAGATACAAGGGCATTTCTGGAGTAAGTATTTCATAGGGGGAAATAATTGCTCTTGGAGAACACATTCATTTGGGAAAATGTTTTTTTTGGTGATGTGACAAAAGGAGCAAAGAAAGGATGTTGACCTTGGGGGGGGTGGTGGTGTGGTCATAGGATAATTATGGTTGGAAGGCACCTCAGAGCTGTGATGCATTTTCCCTGACTTCTGTGTGGTATTTGATTTAAATTCTAGATGCAAGTGTGGACAAAGCTAAAGTAGAAGAGAGTGAAAAGAAAGCAGCAGAATTTTCCAGAAGGGTAAGTCCTAATCATCACTCTTTTTAAGGTATGGAACAGAAGCCTGACAGGAACACAGTAGGCTTGTTTCACAGTAGAAACTTGGTGGAAATGGGGAAATAGTGTATCTCTCGTGCAGGACGTTCTTTCACATTTAATAGCTCTGTGGGTTTAGGGTTTTTCTGTGTGTGTGCATGCACGGCTCAGATTCAGCTTACTCTGAATTCAGAAGCAAGTGAGTAGTATTAGCTGTACGTATCTTCAGTCGTATTCCTCTGCTGTAGATAACTGAAGGCAAAATTTCCACTTGTTGCGATTTAGTCCTGAAATACTTAGTCATACTTAAATACCTAAAGTGCAGGTATACACTTAAAAAAACCCAGAAAACCTTGGGGGGAAATGTTCATAACTCTTCATCTAGCTTTGTTTTAGAACCTGAAGAAACTTACTAAAAAATAGTGTCGTCGAGTGTTTGAAAAAGCAGTGACTCTTTAGGCACAGAGATGCTAACATTAAAATACTGCTTTATTTCCTTATAATGCCCATGATAAATTACTATGTTATGAGGGAGAGTAATTTATTTCCTTATTATTTGCATTCAGGAATCTTACAGTGCATTTTGGAATCCGTTTTGATAACGGTTTTATTTTTCTGGTCCAGCTCTCTTTTATTAGGAACTTGATAACGAAGTCCTATTTTGGTCATGGGCAGTTTTCATTTATTACTAGATACAGGAGAGGTTAGACATTTAAAATGATTTCTGTAGGAAGAATTGCAGCTCAGTATATTTCTTGTAATAAAATTTTTGGGGGATATTTCTGAAGAAATGGATGCTTATCCTTCTACTTTATCACTGTTGGTGTTTGTGCTGAAAATACCTTGTTTTTTCAAGTTACTTAAATTCCTGTTTCCTAGATTTGTTAATCTCAGCTCATCACATCCTATCTAAGGATATGAAGTGCTGAACGTACTATATTAGCTGCAATAGTACTAAAGTTCATATACCATGTTGTTGTGTATTAAAAGCATTCACAATTTTGGTTTTTTTTGTTGTGCTGGTCTAAGAAGCCTTTTGCAGGCCAAAAGGCAGTACATGTTCTTGAACATGGTGATTACAAAATTCAAATGAAGGGCTGCATGAAGTCATTAGTTTTTCTCTCTTCAATGTTAAATGTGGATGCATTTTTAACAGGAGTTACGGTGTCTGAGCTTTATAGAAAGAAAATTGTTGTGATGCTTCACTGGCAGAGTTATTTATCATCATGTACTTTGTTAGTGGCAGTCAACACATGTTCTTCCTAGTGATAGGTGGTTTTGTCCTGTGGAAGAATGAATAGCAGAAGCTTTTAAAGATGCTAATAATCTCTTAAGCTTAGCAAACAGTAACAGGATGAAAATATACAGCAAATTTCTCACAATCATAGTGTAAACAGGGGACATGAAGACTAAAGGGATCACTAACTTATTTGGATACCTGCTTTCTTATGTTACTTTATTGGTGATACTACTGAAGCTGCACATATCTCTCTTCAGATTTAAGCTTGCTGCATGAGATGTTTACTCGAGTTTAGTTTGAGGAGTCTGCAATATTCTGCTGGGGGTGGGAAACTTGTTGAACTTACAGCTGTACTAAGCGTCTCGATCTGAGTGGTTCTGTCATGACTTATCGATGGAAGAAATTATGGGGTACTAGAAGAACATATACGGGAAAAATTCTCTTTTTTTTTTTGAAGTTAAAAGTGTATCTATTGCTCTAGTTGTGATATTGTTCAAAGAATTCCTGAAAGTATAATATGTAGTGTGGACATAAATGGACAAACGCTTCTGTGTTGGTTAATCATTACAGTTAGATGAAGAGTTCACAGCTCGACAAGAGGCACAAGTGGAGCTTCAGAAACGAGAAGAGAAAATCAAAGAACTTGAAACAGAAATCAAACAGCTACGAACCCAGGTAATAAAACTAAATCACGGTGAGTTCCACAGCTGAATTTTTTTTTTTTTTCCCCCCCTGCACTCCTCCAAGAATTGAAAAGAAATTGCCCAGGAGTGTATTGTCTCTATGGAGTTTGAAATGTATGTTATAGTTGTATTGATTTGTTTTTAAGCCAGCATAAACTACTAAGGATAGTTAATGGAGGTAACTTTTTTTTTTCAAATAGTAGTATATTCAACATCTGTCACAGATATTTACTTTACTGAGGAAAGAATTTCCTGAGGCTATGAAAAGTTTGAATCCAGGCTGAGTTGTTTTTTGGGTTTTTCCTC